CACGAGTTTTTATTTCTCCCTTTTCTTTTTGTTTTTATTGCTGATAATGTTTAACATAAAAATAAGAATGATGTAACCCAGGATCCAGGAACCAACAGGTGGTAACAGATGCAAATGCAAAGTAAATTTGAGTTTTTAACTTTGCCCTATTTTACTGTGTGAGATATAGGTAATTAAACACTACTTTGGCAAGTGCATTAAATGTGCCGATACATTTTAAATTTCAGTGGTCAATTAGAGTTAGTTACCTTCTAACAGAGATAGTAAAAAGTATGCCTCCAGCTGTCTGGATCTTTGCAAAACTGTCACCTGGAAGAGTCTGCCTTCAGTGACCCCAGCCTCCTCTTTCTATATTGCTTCCTTTTCTCTGGCTATTTTAACTTTCTCTACAGAGCTCTGCACCACCACCCCACTAAAAACGCATTGGCAGTAAAGAATTCATTCGTTCCCTAAACAGAATCTACCGTGGGCCAGATATTATTCTAGATGCAAGAGATTCATTGAAGAACAAGATACAGCTCATGTCTTAACCTGGTAGGAAGATACACCTGTATATCAATGATTACACTGGGATAAGAGCTATCAGGGAGGAGAGACCGAAGCAGTCAAGGAACCCACAGTTGGACAAAGTCCGCCTCAGAGAACTGACTTTGAGCAGTGAGAGACATTGCCTGCGTTTTGAAGAACAGGGAGTTAGCTAAAAAAGAAAAGAGAGGGGAAAATGTCTTAGGCAAAAAACACCCAGCAGGCTCAAAAGTCTCCAGGCATGAAGAGCTTAGTTAGCTCCAGGAATTAATTCTGGTTTGCCTGGAGCAAGGGACGTGGACGGGGATGGACGTTAGGGGAGGGCCTGGTGTGATTTAAGGCTAAAGATTCATGAGGGTCACTCTGTTATCCTTCCTGGGATATGCTTACATTTTAAGGGCAGGTGAAAGACTTAAACTAAAGAAATAAGACTGTAAGTGGAACTTTAGATTTGGTTAATAGAATTTAGATCGTGTCCTTGGGCTAGGGCCCAATAGGTATATTAAAATGTTCATGGTTTCTGTCCTAGAAAGTAGGGCTTTCTGTAATAATTGTTTCCAAAATGGCTCAAGGAACATTTTGCATAGAGCCTCCTAAAAATGACCTCACATAACCTACCTTCATGCTGAGAGGATGGAATGAATGTTCCGTACACCTGAAGTACTATTTTAGAGGTCACAAATGGGCATCCCTTTTTTCTTTAAAATTTTCTTTTCGAATAAAGCAGAGTTCAGCCCAGGTTGACCCAGAAAGAGACAGCAGTAGAACTGGACAGTTTCTCCAGGCCACAGCTTCACAGCTAACCAGAACCTCCGTGAGTTAGGAGGTAAAGAAAGAAAGACCTTTAGCTCATAAATCTAGCCACAACCTGCAGCCCTGGCTGCCACATCGTGACTCCACCACCACACCACAGGCCCTTCTCCTTTTGCCCCTACCCAAGACTTACCTCCATGGTCATTTTCACCTTTTGGAGATTTATACAGAGCCATCCCAGTAAATGGTTTCACTTTTCCCCTACTGAAAGCCCTGACTCCAGCTCCCAAGTCTTAAGAAAACACTGCTGGATGGTGCTCCAGGATGTGGTAATTTACCCAAGTGAAACCCCACCCAGTTTGTGAGGCTCCACCGGGTTCTCTGTGCAGATGAGTCCACCGCATGGCAGAATGGGAAGGCCGGGCAGCCAGGAAGACAAGAAACTGCCCAGGACTCAAGGGAACAGAGGAAGCAAAAGAACAGTAGGTGAACTGGGGAAGCAGAAAGAAGAGAAGCACAAGAGAAGGGAACAACTAAAAGGCTAACAGGGAGTCAGAAAAGGAGCAAGCATGAGGAAGGCGGGTGTGAGAGCCAGGGGCAAAAGCATCGGCTTGTTTCTTAACGTTCAGTAGTTTAAGTAGGAGGTCACCATGCTCGCACTTAAAAAAAATTTATTTTCAAAATGTGTTTGGGAAATTCCTCTTTATATACCAATTTCAACAAGGACTCAGGCTTGCCATCCCAATTCAAGCTTTAAGACTGGCCTACACAAACCTTTTATTTTCCCCTCATCTCTGCACTGGGTTTAACTTGGTGAATGTGTACCCTAAAAACTGAATTTGGGGAAATTTACACATCTCAACCTAACAACCAGACTACAGTAGCTAAAAACCGAGGTTTTGTCTCTTTTCCCAGAGTCACTTAAGAGCCCTTTGGGAAAACTAAAGGCTGGCATTTCAATTCAGCTTAACAACATTAATTGAGTAATATGATACTATATGATTCCATTTATACAAAGTATCTAAAGAAATCAAATTCATAAAAACAGAGAGTAGAATGGCGGCTGCTGGGGTTAGGGAAAGGGGTAAGTGGGGAGAGTGGTCATTTAATGGGGACACAGTTTCAGTTTTGCTAAATGAAAAAGTTCTGGATATCTGTTCCAAAACAATGTGAATGTACTTAACACTACTGAGCTGTATACTTAAAAATGGTTAAAAAGATAAATTTTATATGTTTTTTGAAACCACAATTAAATATTTATAAGTGATTCAGAAGACTGGGACTCTAAATGTAAAAAAGTTTTGGGAATAATTAATCAGTTTCTGCTTTTATTTTCTTTCTTACGTCTACACAAGTATGACTTAAAAAAAAATCCATGCCTAAATTTGTCTAAATAGGTTTTAATAAATATAAAATAAAAATCCTAGGTAATTAAAAAAACTTAATTCAGTCACTCAGTTCTAATACGTTCTGGTGGTGTGAATGTCTTGAGTCCTATGCGTGATGGGCTTGGTTCAGTTCTGTCCAGAACTCTTGTTTTAAAAATGTATTATTGTAGATATATTTCTAGCATTTCAGTTCATACTGTTATTCTTAGTAACTTAAGTGAAAAAAGGAATTTATTAAAAGAATAATTGAAGTAAACATGTCCACTCCTTTTGAACCTACTTAAACGACGATTAAGAGATTTTTAAAAATACTTCATAAATCTGTAAAGATAAAGAGAACTGGATAGATAGCAACATAATTTTGGAATCTAGAGAGCATGAGGATGAATTTAACTGACTTTACAGTAAAGTGCCTGCAATGGTTGGGGGAACAAATTTTCCAAACTTCAGAATCCCAAAAGGCTCAGTGATTAATCCAGTAATTGTACCAGGTAGCTCTGAAGGAGAAGGTGGGTATGGGTGGAGCTGAAAACAGGATGATTAGTTAAAAATTTGTAAGAAGTTAAACTATTAAATTCCATTTCTCACGCCATGGCAGCCAGGAGACTGCCTCTTCCCCACCCTGGCAAAAGATAAAAGTTTATTTTTCAGGACAGGTTTAAACATAGAGAATCTAGCCTTAGAGACACTGGTCATGTTTTGAGCACCTTATTGGAAAGAGAGGTTAAGTAAAGTCTATATATTGAACCATCAGACCCCTCCCTTTTTTTCCCTTTAGGTTTTTCTAAGAACACAATGGCCACTAAGCTTAATCACTCCCTTCTCCAACCCAACAGAGGTATTTGGGAGGACACCTATGTGGGGAAACTAATCAGCCCAAGAGGAAAGATCTACAGATCAAGTTGAATATTGAGAGTCCATCAACTAAATGAATCTGTCTCTGCCCAAGCAATTGTAGAGAAGCCCACTGGTTGATAGGTCCCACATACATACACAGAGCACCCAATATAATGCCTAATTCTATATATGCTTGGAGGGCCAAAGACCTCAAGGTAGTTGAGAAAAGACACTGATATGAAAATGAAATGCAAAAGTAAGAAGAAAAAGGGAATTCAAAGAAAATAAGTCTACAGCCATGCCACCCTGAACAAGCCTGGCCCCGTCTACTAAGCAGGGTCTGGCCTGGTTAGTACTTGAATGGGAGACCACCTAGGAAGACCAGGTGCCGTAGGTGTAAAAAATAAAAAATAAGGGATTGTAAGCTGACAAGGTACTTACAATCTGTGAGGTCAACCAAAGGTTGCTTCGCCTAAAAAATAAAAAATAAAAATAACAAAGAAAATAAGGACAATGTAGGGAGAAGAATTCTTAAAATCACTATTGTATTTAGAGAGTTAAGAGATGATGTAGGTTCCATAGACCAAGAACCAGAAGATGTAAGAAAGGGAAAATCTAGAAAACAAAAAAACTTCTAGAAATTAAAAATGTGATAGTTTCTGTGCAAGATTAAAATGGCAATAGTGTAGTTTTTAATCTACTGAATTCTCCAACAGTAACTCCCTCCATAACAAATCACAACAATTATCTACTGTAAAAGTAATGAGGTATCCTGTGAACTCTGAAATACAGAGAGCTGATTAACTGATAGCAACGAAATCCACGTGGCATCAGTAAATGGGCAGGAAGAAGCAGAAAGCAAGTAAAGGGTCTTCTGGTGGCACTGAATGCCAGCAAACTTATAGTCAAACT